AGTTTAGGGGTTAGAAGTTCAGGGGTGGTAGCCCATCTCTTCCGCCCCTTCCTCTTTCTCTAAGCTGCCCCGGATAATGTTCCAAAGCTGTTGGGGTTTCATGTTTTTGAGGTGATATTTTATGGTTTAGATACATAAAGGCAGGACTGATTCCTTAGAGAGAAGAGTACTCTCGCACCATAGCGAACATGGATCCTGAAAGGTTGTTGGCCTGAAGTGTGTGGCCTCTGAGCGCATGCACTTCCTTTTGCTGCCAGTCGCTGTGTTGAAGGTTACACTGTGCCAAATGCTTGCTAGGGCAGAAGGTTGCCTTTTGGAAGGCATAACATGGTGAACTTGTGAAGGCAAATGTGGAACCAACCTTACCTATGTCTAGAATTGTATTCACTCAGCAACCCTCTGCCTCTGACGATCGTTGCCGATATCTAAATCAGCTGGCCTCCTTTCTCCTCTCTGCACTGCCTGTTCAGGCGGCACAGGTTGTGCGGGAAACTGTTCTCGGACCTGGTTTTGTTGATCCGCCGTTAAAGTGGCGAACCACTCCTGCGACCACGCCACTCCAGCTATGCATGCCTGGGCATACGTTCTGGTCACTCCTCGACGAAATGGCTGCTCGCCAGCCGGCACGAAACTCCAGCTTCGGGATGCCTTGCCAGCATACCTTGCCCCAGTCAGTATGCGGATCTGAATAAACGGGCAGCAATCCTGCGGCCTCCCGAGGACAGCTCGTGTGCCGGGGGCCAGCTCGTGAGAAGGGAGAACAAAGCCGCGTGGCCCCAACCTGCGACGGTCGGCTCCCAAGGGCCCAGGTGCACGATCCTGAACCCAAGAGGTGGTGCTCGAAAAAATGGTTCTATCTTAGGAAGCATAGCCAGTAGAAAGAATAAAACATACTACTACCGAAAAGCTAGGCTCGGCCCTTTCAGCAGGAATGGCATAACCCTCATCCACGGCAGCGGGTGCAGCAGGATTATTCGCAGGCTCTTGATGCTCCAGGTGTTCCGGCAGTGCTGCCTCGGCAGGAGCCTCTGCAGCCTGGGCCTCTCCAACAGCCGGAGCCTCTTGACCATTGACCCCATCCTCATCAAGGTTGAAGTTCAGGTCCTCTAGAACCGCTTGCTGTGCCTCATCATCAGCATCCTCGTCGTCGGTCTTGTCATCCTCTTGCTCCTGTGGAAAGGGAAGGGCAAATCAAGCAGAAGCCTAGCCCGTATAGATATCAACTTCGCCCTCTAAAGTCTTTGTTAGTTTGGCCCTAAACCGAATCTCAAAGTGAGCCTAAACCCCATAGCAAAAATCCTAACTACTCCTATTTCTTATTTTCGTCGTCGAAACCGCAGATATTAACTTCTTCATAGAGCTTACGGCCCAGTCTGTCCGGAGCTTGTGCTCTTGCACGAGTTTGAGGGGTCGGCAAGGCATCAATAACTTCCTGGATGTAGGCATCGTCGAAGGCTTCCCGTTGAAGCAGACGGCGCACTCTCTCAGCATGACTGCATCTGCCGAGCTGCAAGCCGAGCAAGCGACACCAGGCAGCGATGAAACTGGAAGGCATTTGCAGCACCCTGTGTGTACAGAGGTAGCGAGTAGGAGTCATCCAGGCCTCGGCCTTGAAGAGTAATCCGAACTCGCATTTCGCCACACCCCGTGCAAGAGAAAGACATCCTTGCAGGGGCTTGAAAGTGACAGTGTCCTGCACACAAGCCTGGCTTGGGATCCGGTAGTAGAACTCGCCGTCCACCTCCACCGGATCCACAGCAAGGAACTGGGCCGTCCAAGTGCCTGACTGAAGCACCAGGCGGATCTCTGCATCCTCGTCTTCTGAAAGCTTCCACAATGTGCAGGCACTGAGCAGCTTGAGAGTCCAAACATCGGAGAGCAAACCTTCTATGTCAATAGTCCTGTTCTGAGAAAACTCTTGGAGGAGGCAGACGTACAAACGAAGATTGGCCGAAAGCACGGCGGGCTTTGTCAGCACGTCCAGCTGTCTCTTCGTTGTCAAGTCGGTCATCGGGATTCCGAGCTGCTGGTCGATCTGCTTGGCGCCTTTCAATATGGTGTTTTTGAGATATCGAGAGGCATCTCGATCTGCCCAGTCTTTGGACTCCAGAGACAAGTGCTCCAGTGGCGACCTCTTCCAGGCCGACTTGACAGCACCTGCCGCCATGGCCGCCGGGGCCCGAAAGTCAGCCTTCTGCGAGCGGCGCTCCCCGTCACGAAGGTCGTTGAAGGTCAGCTCGTTGCCTAAGGATGACAACAAGGACGACTGCATTGCATCTTCTGCACCCTTGAGGGCGGCAGCCGCCAGGAAAACGTCTCGCACCTGATCCGCACACTCATGGTTCGGATTGAAGTCGATGGACCTGCTTCAATTCTCTCCAATTCTCAGAAGCCAACACAACTAGGGAAAAAATAGGGGAAAGGACAACCTACGGCAGACTAGCCCACACTGCTGCTCTGGGCAATTGAGAAACTCAGCTTGGACCAGCATCTCTCGCACCGACTGCCAACGGGTGAAGCTCATTGCTTTGAAGACTTTGCTCTTGGACGAGAGCTGGTCAAGCATCTGAATGAGGTCCCATTCTAGTCTGAGAGACTCAAGCAAAGTAGCATACCTACGACTGTGGACTGCCAAAATGGCCTTCCACGGAAGCACTCTGTGGTGATCCGCAAGTTCGTGCAATCGGCAGAGCCAATGGCACAGCATCTCGCAGTGCAGGGCCATGGTTTCAGCTGCTGTTTCGTCATGCGAAGCTTCCGTGATGTTGATGTACACCAGGCTTTCCCAGCAAGTGGTTTGCTGGATGGTGTCCCTGCCACGAAATGCAAGAAACTGGGGACACAAGCATGGCCCTCTTTACTTAACCTGACACTGTGCCTGCCTGAGCAACTGCTGCACCCGTGCTCCTGTGGCCAACTGGATGGCTTGGCGAACGGAGCCGTGCACATTCGTCTGCACATCGGAGTCCTGAGTGCCGACTGGCTCTTGGCTTCGGGACGTTAGCATTGGTAAAATTTGTGTCCTAGGATCCAACTGAGCCATCCAGTTCCTCGCCGGGCCGAAGATCTTGAGCATGGCTCGGAGTTTGTCCTGGTTCGTCGAGTCGGCAAGCACCTTGAGGTGTAC